GCGAGTGTCACCCTCTGCGCCTCTTTGGGGAAAGTCTGCACTTGCTGCGGCTCCTTGGGGACATTCTCCCTTGCTAGGAGTGTGCAGCTGCAAAGAAGAAAACCAGATACGGGTTTTCCCAGGTGGCTAGTGCTTTCAGGAGGCAAACCTCTGGTACCAAGGAGGGGGCTGATTTTCAGGGGGTAGATGCCTAGCCCTTCTTGGTAATGATGGCTTTGGAGGTAGCTCCAATCCTGCACCCAGAAATGACCCGTCACTTTGGAAAATCTCAGCCTTATTATTTTCTCTGGAACTGGACACTAGGACAGATGAATACTGAGGGCCCCAGGGGGTTGTGTAGACTTGGCTGAAAAATGCCAAGTATTTATCATAGGGAATTTTTAATTGTGTGGGGTTTTTCCCCCACCCCCACCTCAGATTTCATAAGAAAGTATTTGGGTGGAAAATTTAAAAAAAAAAATGGTTTTCAGACCCTTTCTGGGTAAAGATCTTTGGCTGAAACCTTTTTTTTTAACGAAACCTGGAAAATTTCAGCCAAAGCAAAACATTTCCGCAAGAAACTTTGTTTTGGCTGAAAAAACTGTTTCCACAAGCCTGTCTCCAGCAGGCCTGGCTTTCTGACCGGCACTTGCAGTTGCGCGCACTCGAATCGTTTTTAGCGATAATAATTGGCTGCACAAGGAGAAACTGTGACCGTCCCTACCAAAGCACCGTATGCTTCTGCAGCACAAAGCAAGCCCCAGCAGCGAGTAGAGCCCAGGGAGAGCTTGGACTCCTGAGTGCTGCTGCCGGAGCACCCTTCCCGCTGCCTGCCCTTCCTCTGCCAGCGTGCAGATGAGGTTACCCCCGGGGAAGCTAGCCCATCTTCTCACTCACCCCCATTTCCCCTGTTCCCCCATGACACAGAGCAGCAGCCGACCTCAGCAGCAAGGAGAGATGCTGCTCCTCTGACTGCTGTAGGAAGACTCAGCATCCTAGGAAGCGTCGGGTCCATGGTCACTTCCCGAGCCTTGTTAACACAGCTGCAATTAGTGCAATTAGTGTAGGAGGTCTGGACCAGGTGGGCATCTGTGTTCCAGGCATTAGGCTGAGGCCCATGGGTATCACGTCAGAGGGGAGGCACCTGCGGGTAGCTGGCTCCCTCTGGCTGCGGGGGCCCTTGCCAGTCATGCTGTCGTTCCTCAGGAAAAGGGGGCTCGCAGGAGAGCTCAGTATGCCCAGGGGGGCGGTGGGAGAGCGATCGATTGTTCTCTGTGTCCGCAGGAGACAGGACAAGACGTAATGGACTTAAATTGCAGCAAGGGAGATTTAGATTAGATACCAGGAGGAGCTTTCTAGCCAGGAGGGGGGCCAACCCCAGAGTACATTACCTGGGGAGGCTGCAGAGGCTCCAGCCCTGGAAAATTTTAGGTGCAGAGAAAAACATGCATCTGGGAGGGTTAGACCAGCCCGTTGCTGGAGCCAGGGGTTGGATTAGATGACTCCTGAGGGCCCTGTTTTCTGCGTCTATGAATTTCAGCACCCTGGGGCTGAGCACAAAGGCCCCAGCATCCTGGAAAGAGATGGGCTTCAAGCCTCCGAATTTAGGGAGGCTGGACCATGCTCTGCTTGATATTAGGGCCTTAAGCGTGAATTGCAGGAGGGGACTCCAGCGTCGGTGTGAGGATGCAGGGGAGGGCGTTCCTTGCAGCTGCATCCCCCCGGCTGTGTGGCCTGGTGGGCTGGGCATTGAATGAGGGGCCAGGAGGCCTGGGTCTTGCTCCAGGCTCTGCCGTGGGGCTGCTGGAGGGACCTTGGGCAAATCTCAGCACCTCTGTTTCCTGTGCGCGGAGCCCTCTGACACGCAGCGGTGACCAGCTTAGGAGCCTCAGGGGCCGCGAAGGTTAACCAAAGAGCCTCTGTAACATGCAGTGCCCCCAGGTGAACCGCTGCCGACACACTCCCATTCAAAGAGAAAAGCGACGGGACGCTAGTTAGCGCGGATAGGGAGCGAGCGCGGGCGCTGCATTATTCATGACTGCAGAAAAGACATGCCTGACGCACGCTGTAAAAATAACAGCTTTGATGACTGTATTTTTGCAAAGAGCCGCAGATGACGTGTTGAAGAGCCACTCGTGGCTTGGGGGCCGCGGTCTGGGCCTCACTGGCTCGGTCTGTACGTCCTCCAGGGCAGCGGCACGCTCGGACCAGGTGCCTGTAGGGCTTCTGCCTCCCTGAACTCATTCGAGGCCTCCCTGCTCCACCGCAGACCACCTGCTCGGCCCTAGGTAAGGCACTTGGGAAAATGCTGCCTCTTGGCTTCTGACATCTGCATCCAGCACTCGCAGGCAAGCTGCCTGTGGATGGGGAACCCGAGTGTTAGCCTGGATTTAATAGCATCCCTCATTGCACAGGCCCATGGGCTCTGTTCAGTGCAGCTCCTGCATAACCCACGTGCAGGGGCATCCAGTCCTTCACCTCGCACGAGCATCGTGGCACCGCCATAGCGGTACAGTGGGCACGTTACATACAAAGGAGGCCTGTTGACATTTTACAACAGACAAAAGCCTCGTGATCTTCCATTAGACAGTTAAAGGCATAAGGGAGAAATCCAGGTGGTTATTCCTGGAAGGAACGAAGCACAATAATGATGTTGGAGGCTCGGCACAAGTCTCTCCCCACTGACCTGCCAGCAAAATAATCCTGTGGAATCCGATGTTCTCAATTATTCATGCTGTCCAGGTTTGCATTGTTTCTGTCAGGGCCTGTTTTATAACCGCTGCTGCTATTGCTGATGGCAAACAACAACTTTGCATTATTTATGAACAGATTTTTACAACGGCTGATATTACAGCTGTTGCCAAAGTGCAGCGAGAAAGAGCGTGTCTAGGGGTTCCCCCCCACCCCTTGCAAGACGGCGCCTTTATTTTTTTGCATAGCGGCATTCACATCCCGGGTGACAGCGGAGCACTCCGCACAGGACGATTGCCATCCTGGCTTGACGGCAAGAGCAGGGTCGGGTTTGGAGAGGGGGGCACTGGAGCCTGGTTGCGCGGAGGGGAGGACAAGCTTGCGGAGGGCGAGCTGATGGTCTGGGCGCGCCTGCCTGTCTATGCGCATGAGTCGCTGCGATGCCAGTCTGCCAGGTCTGTGCAGAAGCACAAAGGATGAAGCGTCCTTTCGTGGGGGTGATGGGAGGGTGGCGAGCTTTGCTGCCCTGCAGAGGGAAGATGATCACGTCCCTGCGTGTCTCAGCTCAAGCCCTAGCCCCCTTGCTTGCAGGCAGCATCATGGCTTTGGTGGTGTGTTTTGCCTCCGCTCGTGGCCCGTCTTTGGTGTTCAAAGGGTGTGTCAGACTCTGCGTAGCACCGGCAAGCAGCTGAGACCTGTCTGCGTTGCCTGCCGAGCTCTTGAGGAAAGCGCCTTGCCCTGTGGCTGCTGGCTGAAAGGAAAGAGGCTCCAAAGCAGGCCCTGATTTGGGGTGCTCTGGGAGGGAGACTGCTTTGTGCTCCCGGGTCCCAAAGGACCTTGGTTTGTCCTCAGGCCACCGTGCAATGCCGTGGCCTCTACCCTGCACTCTGTGCTGCGTCGTCCCACTGCCCGGCTACAAATGACATCACGTCCCCCGGGGGCAGCTGAACCAGAGCAGCCGTGCGGCCTGGATACAGATCCTGGGCACGTAAGGGCATCGGCAGCCACAGGTGAAGCTCAGGGCTGAGCTGAAAAGCAAAGCCCCTCCACCAGCCCTGGTGCGCAGCGGGGACGGCGGGTTCAGCGCCGCAGGGGGAGTTCTCAGGAGCAGTGCCACGTGTGGGGCACCCACAGCCCCTTCGGCGTGGCACTGGCACGGTATTGAAACAGGCTCCCAGGGCTCTGGGGTGACGCCTGGTTTCTGCGGATGGACGCAGGCTCAGTCAGGCCCATGACTGGGCTGAGCACTGAGCAGAGAATACAGGGTTGACCCAGGTTAGGACCAGGCCAGGCCCCTGGATCTCACGGAGAGGCTCATCACTTGTCCAGATGCTGCTTGGGGTCTGGGGGGCAATTGCAAACCTGGACAAACCAGAGCCACCACCCTTGCAGATGCAGCTTTGCCAGCCTGGGACCAGGAGAGCGGCAGGAGCGGGTCCACGCTCCTTCTCCCTCTGGCTCCATGTCACTGAGTCCATCCACGTGGTTGCCCCTGTGCTTTTTACAGTGCTGGCAGCCCTGCCAGGACAAGAAGAGCAGTACCCAAGGGGCAAGAGAAAGGGAGAGCTGCCCAGGCCGGGGCTGGGCACCAGGGCGTATCTGTCCCCAGTAAATCTGATTCTTAGCAAGGTGATCTGAGCCCCGGCAGTGTTTGCCGTGGCTCTCGGGCGTGCACGTTCAGTGCTCTGCCTCTGTCCCTGGCCTGCACCTGGGTCCATGCGAGTCCCCCGCCCACGCAGACCTGGCTCCAGGTGAGCTGGGTGGTATTCAGCACCCCCAGGTGCAAATCCTGGATGCCACGTGGAGCCAGGTCTCCGAGTACACATTCAGTCCCTGAGCTGCCCAGCTCCAGCCAGGCTGGACCGCAGTTTGCTCCCGGCAGCCTGGACAGTCTGTCCCTTCCTGTCACTCTACCCCTCACCAGGTGTTGAGCCTGTTTCAGGGGCAGGCTGACCAGCCCCTCCGTTCTCCTCTCCAGCTTCATCTCTCTCCATCCCTTACTCCCTCCATGGCGAGAGATGCAGGCAGACGGGCCACGCAGGGCCCTGGCAATCCGCTGCTCCCCCTCTGATCTGGGTAGGGTGTAGCATCCTTTGAGTCTCATCGCAAGCCGAGTTGCTGAAGGGCAAGCGAGAGGTCTTGAGGATGGAGAGGACTCGGGAGCCCTTCCCCAGCCCGTTATTTTTAAGCTACCCACCCAGCGAGGGGAGAGCTCTCCTAACGAGCACCACGTTGCCATGGAACCCAATGGAAGATTGAATCCAATTATCTCACTGTTGGGAAACAAAGCGAAGCATAAACAGCGGCGCACTGTGCTTTCTCCTCCCCAGCTCTTCTCCATCGTGGTGTTCGGCTCCATCGTGAACGAGGGCTACGTCAACAGGGACAGCACCACCCCCGAGCTGCACTGCATCTACAACGAGAACGAGGAGGCCTGCAGCTACGGCATCTCCATCGGCATCATCTCCTTCTTCACCTGCGTCTTCTTCCTCATCGTGGACCTCCACTTCCAGCAGATCAGCAGCGTGAAGGACCGGAAACGGGCCGTCCTGCTGGACCTCGGCATATCAGGTATGGCGCTGGGCTGGCTGGGAAGCTGGAAGGCCTGGGCACACCGGTGCGTGGGCCCCGCTTCACTCTGTCTGCATGCTCTGTATCGGAGTGGCTGGGGTTCAAATTCCCTCCCCTGAGAAATAGCCCCTGTCCCTCTGAAACAGGGCAGGTGGCAGCAGTAATGCACCGCAGGGAGGCAGGGCTGGCGGCAGGTGGACACCAGTGATGCCAGCTCCATGTATCGCACTGCTCCCTCCATGCCCCTTGGCTGGGGCAACGTTGGTGAGGCCTCCAGAGCAGCAGAGCCGGCAGTTCACTCCCTACAGAGGCATGTGGGGCAAGTGTTTCAGGCTCTCTTCAGATTCAGGCGTTCACTTTAGCACCCGTTCCCCCTGCGGTGTTTCCCCCTCTTGGCACCATTGTTGCAGGCTCTCGGCAGACTCTGCTCTGTGCTGCTTCAGTCCCATCTGGGCCACGTTTCCCAGCATTTCCTTTTGCAAGCCCCCAGGTTTAGAGAGGTATTGGGTTTTACATGCAAGCAGAGATGCCGACATAAACCACGGCCCTGGGAGCCGGGCCGCATTTGTTCCTGCATCCGGGTCATGGGTTGGTGAACTCGCCAGGCTGGACCTTGCCTTTACTGAAGTCCTGCTTGACCTCAGGCGATCGGGCATGTGGGTCTGTGGAGCCAGCAGGATGTCTCTGAGCTGAGCCGCTCTGGGAGAGGCCCCTGTAGCCTGCTGTCATCCCTGGTCCTGGGTTCCTGGCCTTCCTGCTTTCAAAAGTCTGGTGGTCGTTTTCTCTGGGGAAGGTGGTGAGGGGGGCAGGACAGCCTGGTCCCAAAGGAAAGCGTGTGCCAGTGTGTCATCCCATCCCTGGACAAGCCTGCTGCTAAGGCTGGGAAGTGCCCTGAAGGCATCTCGCGGGAGACGCAGGAGGAAATATTCCAGGCTGGGCATCACTGAAGAGTCCCGTACAGCCTCTGTGTCTGCTGCCTCCCAAATCTGCAGATGCATGCTATTTACAAGGCCCCCTAAGGGATTTAGATGCCCCAAATCCACTCATTTCAATGGGAGCAGAGCATCTGAATAAATCCTGTCAGCTGCTCTGAAAATCCCAGCCTAAGGATGTGATCCCCTTGCTGCTGCCTTGTGCTTGGCCTGGCCATGTTCTTCTGTGCTAGGTCTGTGCAAAATGCTGTCCTGCCAGACCTCCTGCTCTCACCCCCTGCCCCACTAGGCACAGCTCGGGGGCTGCAGGGGCGTTATCGGGCACAGCCAGGTTCCTGGCACTACAGGATCCAGTTCTGAGGCCCGTGGACATGCAAAACTGTCACTGCTGTTCACAGAGTGGCACCAGAAATCTTCATTCTGCAACTGGCTCTTGTGCACCATCCTCGGGACTACTGGGAGACGGGGCGTTGCTGACGGTAGCAGCTAGCTCTGGGATGCGGCTGCATTGACATCACTGGGTGTTAATTAGACCAGGAGGATGCTTGGTTATGTGTGTGTGTATTAAAACTTTTTAGGGGGGAAAATCTTCATTGAAGTGCAATATGATTGCTTTGAAAATAGGACCTTTCCCCCATTTGTTTGTACTTGGGGCACTGCCATTCATTAGTCGGGGCACGTTGTGCTGAAGGAACCTTGTGCCACGTTGTGACACAGTATCAGTCCTGCTGTTCCTTTATCCTTCACCTTGGAGGAGCCCTCCTGGGTGGCAGCTCTGTGAGACCACAAGCAGCTCTGACTGGGAACTTTAGAAT